GCAGTGGTGCGATATCAGCTCAATGCAACCTCCGCTTCCCAGGTCCAAGTGATTCTCTTGCCTCAGCCTCCTGAATAGCTGGGATTACAGGCACATGCCACCACGCCCATCTAATTTTTTGTGTATTTTTAGTAGAGATAGAGTTCAGGCTGGTCTCGAACTCCTAACCTCGTGGTTCACCCACCTCAGCCTCCCAAAGTGCTGGGATTACAAGTGTGAGCCACCGTGCCCAGCTCTAAATTTGTAAGTTTTAATGTCCTTTTTTGTGTACATGGAATTTTGACTTGAAGTACATTTTTAAAATGTGACAATTTTTGACTTAAGATATATAATATTGCATATTATTTTGCATAATATTATTTTGATTTCCTCTGCTCTCAGTGATTAATATTTGCATTAAATGTCTACTTCCATCTTGCCCCTTTCAGTGTTTTTTTTTTTTTTAATCAGTTGATCTCAATTGTCTTTTGTTGAAAAAAAAGGGATCTTGGTTTTTAAACTTATAATAAATTTATGTATTGAAAGTGTGTCTCTTAATTTGAAAGTTAATTTTATATATGTATTTAAATAATTTTCTGAAAATGAAAGACAATGTTATAATTATTTTATTGGATTCTTACATCTTTCTTTTGTCTTTACTCTGTCTTGTTTTGTGTCTATTGATATGATTTTACTTATCTAATTTCCTTTTTTGTGCCTGTACAATTTTCTTTTTCTTTTAATGGTATCTTGGGGGCTACATAAAACCTATATGAAAACAACCAGCATATTTTTAATTTGGTACAAAATAAATCTCAGTTGAATAAAATTTTTCTTCCATCTGCCTTGACATTTGTCATTGATGTTGGTAATTATGTTGTTACCAACATAATTGTATATTCGCTAACAGATGTTTCTGTTTTTTGTGATTTTATTTTTAAAATATTAGAGAAAAATGTTTTCTGCATCATTATGTAATACCACAAGATTCTGTTTTCGTGTATGTGCATATCTTTCACAAAAAATAATGTATATATATTTATGTATTGTTTTCTCGAATTGCCTTACTTTAATTGCTTTTAGCACCTTTTATGTGTCAGAAATTTGGAACATGCAGTGCCTGTATACTTTTTCAAAATTCAGTTGTTTCAGAAAGTTGATTTTTGAGACAGAGTTTATCTCTGTCACCAGACTGGAGTGCAGTGGCATGGTCTTTGTTCACTGCAGCCTGCACTTCCCAGGTTCAAGTGATTCTCCTGTCTCTGCCTCACACATAGCTGCCATTACAGGCATGTATCTGCATGCTCAACTAATTTTGTATTTTTAGTAGAGACTGGGTTCTACTATACCACCCAGACTGGTCTCAGGTGTCTGGCCTTAGGTGATCCACCCACCTCGGCTTCCCAAAGTGCTAGGATTACATCTGTGAACCACCACATTCAGCCTATTTATGTTTCTTCTTAATAACTAATAATCACTTTTTACAATGGTTTTGTGTCTGTGGTACCACAGTCTTTCTGTTGCTACAGAACTTACCTTCTGTCTCAGCAGACTCAAATTGTCATTTGGAAGAATACCACTATTTCAGAATCTGAGGTAATGAGAGACAGCAACTGGTGTCTGTAAAATACTGTATGATTCAGAAATAAAAATGTATAAGGCAGCATTTTACTTGTTATTTAAGAAAGAAACCAGCAGTTGGCAATTTATTTCAAGTCACTATGTGATATTGGGAAGCAGGAAGATCTGTGTTGGGTAAATATAAGAGGCTTGTTCTATGTGTCTCTTTGCATTAAGATCACCTGGGGCATTGCACATGATTTAATTTTTTACAAATGTAATTCGGTCTGTATGTTTTTATTACCTTTATATGTCTTTGTAAAAATTTAAGCCTGTAAAATTTTGCTATGCCACCTTGTGATGTAGTTTGTATAGGTAAGACTTGTGTATTAATCTGAGTTGAGTAAGTTGAATAATTTGTTTATTTATTTATTATTTTTCTCTCAGTTGCATCTTCTTATTTTGCCCAAGATCTCTGGCCAAAGCAGGGCATAAAAAATCATTTCCAAAAAGTGATACTGAGAAGATACAAAAAATGTGGACATGAAAATGTACAGTTAAGAAAATGTCAAAGCGCGAATGAGTGTAAGGTGTACAAAGAATGTTCCAACGGACTTAACCAGGTTTTGACAACTACCCAGAGCAAAAGATTTCAATGCAACAAATTTGTGAAAGTCTTTCATAAATATTCAAATTCAAACAGACATAAGATAAGACAAAGTGAAAAGGAACCTTTGAAATGTAAAGAATGTAATATGTCATTTTGCACACTTTCACATTTAGCTGAACATAAAAGAATTTATACCAGAGAACGACCCTACAAATTAAAAAAATGTGGCAAAGCCTATAATCAGGCCTCAAACCTTTCTACATATAAAAAAATTTATACTGGAAAGAAACCCTACAAATATGAAGAATGTGGACAAACCTTTAACCAGTTCTTACACCTCACTACACATAAGAAAATTCATACTGGAGAGAAAACCCACAAATGTGAGGAATGTGGCAAAACTTTTAACCACTTCTCAACCCTTACTAGACATAAGATCATTCACACTGAAGAGAAACCCTACAAATGTGAGGTATGTGGCAAAGCTTTTAACCAATTCTCAACCCTTACTGGACATAAGATCATTCATACTGGAGAGAAACCCTACAAATGTATGGAATGTGGCAAAGCTTATAACCACTCTTCAATCCTTGCTAGACATAAGAGAATTCATACTGGAGAGAAACCCTACAAATGTGAGGAATGTGACAAAGCTTTTAGCCGTTCTTCAATCCTTACTAGACATAAGAGAATCCATACTGGAGAGAAATCCTACACATGTGAAGAATGTGGCAAATCTTTTAGGTGGCACTCAGGCTTTAGTAGACATAAGAAGATTCATACTGGAGAGAAATCCTACACGTGTGAAGAATGTGGCAAATCTTTTACGTGGCACTCAGGCTTTAGTAGACATAAGAAGATTCATACTGGAGAGAAATCCTACACATGTGAAGAATGTGGCAAGTCTTTTAGGTGTTCCTCAACTCTTACTACACATAAGAGAATCCATACTGGAGACAAACCCTACAAATGTGAGGAATGTGGCAAAGCTTTTACCCACTCCCCAAGCCTTACTTATCATAAGAGAAATCATATTGTAGAGAAACTCTACAAATATGAAGAATGTGGGAAAACCTCTTATCGATTCTCACACCTTACTACACATAAGGGAATTCATGCTGGAGGGAAACCCTACAAATGTGAAGAATGTGGCAAAGCTTTTAACCATTCCTCGATCCTTAGGGGACATAAGATCATTCATACTGGAGGGAAACCCTACAAATGTGACGAATGTGGCAAAGCTTTTAACCGCTCTTCAAACCTTGCTAGACATAAGAGAAATCATACTGGAGAGAAACCCTACAAATGTGAGGAGTGTGGCAAAGCTTTTAACCACACCTCAATCCTCAATAGACATAAGAGAATTCATACTGGAGAGAAACCCTACAAATGTGAAGAATGTGGAAAAACCTTTAACCAATTCTCACACCTTGCTAGACATAAGATAATTCATACTAGATAGAAACTCTACAAATGTGAGGAATGTGGCAAAGCTTTTAACCCCTCCTAAACTCTTACAAAACATAAGAGAATTCATACTGGAGAGAAACCCCAGAAATGTGAGGAACGTGAATAAGCTTTTAATGAATCTTGAAAACTTACTACACATAAGAGAATCTGTACTGGAGAGAAACTCTACAAATGTGAAGAATATGACATAGCCTTTAGCCAGTCCTGAAATCTTACTAGACCTAAGATAAGTCATAAGGAAGAGAAACCCCAAAAGTGTGAAGAATGTGGCAAAGCCTTCAACTAGTCCTCAACTCTTAACAGACATTATATGATTCATACTGGAGAGAAACTCTAGAAACCCGAAAGTTGTGACAATGCTTGTGACAACAAACATTTCCAAACAAAAGAAATTGTGCTTAGTGAGAAGTCATAGAAATGTGAATAATGTGAGAAAGCCTTTAAATGATTGTCACAATTGATTGTAGGTAAGGTAATTCATACTGGAGAAAACTTCTACAAGTATAAATAATGTTGCAAACCTTTTAAATAATGCTCACACCTTATTGCCCAGGAAAGCATTTACACTTGAGAACAAATGTACAAATTTAATGAAAGTAAAAAAGAGGTAAATATATGCTCACAATCTTACTGTACATGAAAGAGCTTATACTTAAAAGAATTAAAATTGCAATTCTCTCAAAATATTCTTCAGAAAATATAAACCTTTAAAGTTCTGGAGACCATTTATTTCAAAGGCAAACATTACAAATGTAAAGAGAGTTGTAGTAACTTTACTTGTAACAGACCTTGTTGTGCTGCTTTTGTATTAGAGGCAAACCCTGAAGCAATTGCTCAAACTTTGTTC